AGGGCTGCGGGGCTTCTTCTGGGGTGGTGAAGGCGTGTTGGGACTTACTTGACATGGATGGTGGTTGCACAACATCGGGAATCTCTGAAATGCTACTGAACAGCGCACTTCATTTTTAATTTTTTTGAGTTGGAGTCTCACTCTGTCACCCAGGCTGGAGTGCAGTGGCACGCTTATGACCACCGCAGCCTCAACCTGCTGGGCTCAGGTGATCCTTCTGCCTCAGCCTTCCAAGCAGCTGGAACCACAGGCGTGTGTCACCAGGCCCGGCTGATTTTTTGATTTATGGTAGAGACGAGGTCTCACCATGTTGCTCAGACTGGTCTTGAACCCCTGAGCTCAGGTAATCCTCTCGCCTCCTCCTTCCAAAGTGCTGGGATTACAGGCGTGAGCCATCAACACTTGGCCCAAATTGTGCACTTTAAATGGTTGATTTAGCTGGGTGCGGTGGCTCAAGCCTATAATCCCAGCACTTTGGGAGGCTGAGGCGAGAGGATTGCCTGAGCCCAGAGGTTCGAGACCAGCCTGGGCAACATGGCGAGACCTCATCTCTACAATAAACTTAAAAATTAGCCAGGTATGGTAGCATGCACCTGTAATTCTGGCTACTTGGGAAGCTGAGGTGGAAGGATCGTTTGAGTCCAGCAGGTCGAGGCTGCGGTGGCTGGGAGCATGACACTGCACTCCAGTCTGGGTGACAGACTGAGGCTCCAACTCAAAAAAATATATAAATAAAAATAAATAAATAAATAAATAGTTGACTTTACATTATGTGAGCTTTACCCCATTAAAAAACAAAACAAAACAAAAAGATCCAGGCTTAGAGCAGGAGCGATGAGGTGACGTGGAGTCTCGGGGGGCATTTGGCAGCTGGTGAAGGGGGCCTGAGGTTGGGGCCCAGGGACTGACCTGAGGCAGGGATGGGTCCAGTGAACTCCTGTAGAGCAGAAATATGTGCCACTTATTGTCCCAGCCAGGAGACGTCTTGAATGTTTAATTCTGAACTAATTTCAGATGTACAGAAAAGTTACAAAAGTAGTGCAGAGTTCCTATACTCCCTTTGCACAGCTTCCCCTGAGTGTGGTTATCAAACCAGGATGAGAGCGGTGGCCCTGTGACCGCGGCACGGCCCTGTGACCACAGACCTTGCCGAAGCCCACGGTTTCCCGCTGGTGTGCCCTGTCCACCTCGATCCCATCCATGGTCCCATGTCATGCTTAGCTGGTGTTTGCCTTCCACCCTGCAGCGCTGACATCTCCCTCGTCTTTCCTCACTTTTCATGACTTCGACACTTTTGAAGAGTCTGGGGTGCGGGCCAGTCATTGTGTAAAATGTCCCCTCAAGGCCGCTCCTGAAGTCTTTCCAGGCCTGAACTGGGGTTTTGTGTTTTGGGCACAAACACCACAGAAAGTTGTTCGCTTCTGTGGGTCGTCCAAGGCACTCGTGATGCTCGTGTGTCTCCTCCTGGTGGCATTCACCTGTTTCCCCAGGAAGGGACACTTCTGAGAGGGAGAGCCGGCAGTAGGGGGCAGTCCTGGGAAAGGGCACATTTGCCCCCCCAGGGCCTGGTTGCCCCGCTGGCCTCCAGGGAGGCCTAACAATGAACATGGCTTGTCACTGTTCCCCAATGCTGTCACTTTGGTGTGGATGAAACATTTTTTTTTTTTTTTGAGTAGGAGTGTCTGTTGCCCAGACTAGAGTGCAGTGGCATGGTCACAGCCACCGCAGGCATGACATACTGGGCTGAGTAGCAGGGATTACAGGTGTGCGCCACCAGGCTCAGATAATTTTTTTTATTTATTGTAGAGACGAGGTCTTGCCATGTTGCCTAGGCTGGTCTCGAATGCTGGGCTCAGGCAGTGCTTTTGCCTCTGCCTCCCAAAGTGCTGGGATTACAAGTGTGAGCCACCACACCCGGCCTCAACATTTGTTAAACAGGTGGAACAGGGGTCATGTCCCCATTGCACAGGTGAGCAGCAGGCTGGTGGCCTGGGCTTACCTGAGGTGACACAGTGGTTAGTGAGCTGGGTGGCTGGGCCTGGGTCTCCTGGTCCAGAGTGTCACATGCACTTGGTGGTGGCACATGGCCAGTGCTCAGCTGCGTCTTCTGCCCTGGGGAGGTGGCCTTCCATATGTGTGGTGACATCAGACCCCCAGCCACACCCCGTGAGCAGTTATGTGTACCCCAGAAACCAGAGGGCAGGGCCAGAGAACACAGGAACATTTACTGGTGGGCCCCCGTGTCACATGCCCAGCCCCCAACAGTGTTCATCGTTACTATTTACCCATGTGGTGACCCTGGGGGAAGGGGTAACTGTCCCCATTCAACAGGCAAGACAACTGAGGCCCAGGAGAGGAGGGAACCATAAGAAATGGCAGCACCAAATCTGCTGGATGCCAACACTGTTCCTTTTAAAATAATGCTTAGGCCGGGTGTGGTGGCACACACCTGTAATTCCAGCACTATGGGAGGCTGAGGTGGGAGGATCGCTTGAGGCCAGGAGTCCGAGGCTGTAGTGAGCTTTGATCAGGCCACTGCACTCCATTCTGAGTGATAGTAAAAAAATGAAGTCATGCTCATTATAGATGTTTTGGGAAACTAGTAACATAATGAACATGGCATCACGGGTCCTGCTGCCGAGGGTGGGCTCTGGAATCTGGCGCTGCTCGCTTGCTGAGGGACCCTGGCAAACACCCCTGCCCTCTGGGCCTCGACTGGGGGCAGATGGCTTAGGCGGTGTCACTCCTTCTCAAGATGAGGGCTCAAGGGCAGGGCTCGGGTTTGAGCTTTGCTGGCCTGGTACATAGTCAGTCCCCAGGAGGTTAGCTTTGCGACTGTGACCGCTACTAGCTTCAGGCACTGGTTACAATTGTTTTTTTTTTTTTTT